GTGATCTCACTAGAATTGAGAAAGTAGAACACATAGGCCGGTCCTGAAGTCCTTACAGTGCCTCCCTGTAGCCCAGAGAATAGACTATAAAACCCTTCTGTTAGTCTATAAATCACGGAATGGATCAGCACCTCAATACAAAAGAGATTTATTGGTGTATCAACCTCCAAGACCAATCAGAGACTAGAATCAAACATGAAGAAGAAGCATTTAGTTTCTATGTTCCACTTCTAGGACACTTGCAAAGTGCTGAAAGCCTGAGTTCTTTAAAGTCAAAATAAAAATAAAAACATTGCTTTGCTACCTGCATTTTTATGTTTTTATCTTTATTTGCTTTTATTCTGCTTTTATTCACCTTCTAATTAATTGTGTACTGAATTGCCTACCCTTTCCTTGGATATGAAATGAGAGTCACAATTGAATATATAGTCAGGAAAGAATAATGCCATTTCTTCTGTGCCTATGAATACTAAGAACAGAATAGCCGAATTTTTAAAATTAAGAGATTGATATGCCAGTTTTTTTTCTGTTGTAATTTGCCAAAAACAATTCTGTTAGAGAAAAAAAGATATAGTATAAAAGAAGTAATTTTTCTTACCCTCAGTCTAAAGTATTGATAATCATCCAAAAAACATTTTACAAAACCTTTTAACCTGAGCTTTGAATTCTTAGGCATTTTATTCTTCCCGTCTCAAATAAAAAACAACATACATCTGTTGCATGGAAGTTAGAAAGGAATAGAAAAAAATACAAAATAATATTAGTAACCTGTATTTACAAATTTGGAGCTCCTCTGTGTAACTCCCCTATAATCACGTTTAAACTTGATGAATTTGGAACAAAATAGAGAGCAAAAATTATAGTTTTATTGACTTAAACAGTCTTACTTTATTTTCTTCCAGACACCTAAGCTTGCTTTGTTTTGGAGTACAGTCTGTTCCTCTGCTTGGTTTTGATGTTTGTCACAGCTCAAGGGGAACTCAAACATATAAGTAAAACTTATTTTTTTATTGATAAAAGCTTGTTGATTTTTTTTATTGTATTGTCAAAAAGCAAAACAGATCCCAGCCCTATTTATTGTTTTAGTTCCTTACAAATATGCTTATATCCCGTGTAGATAATGTGTATAAAATTGGTTTTCAGTTTGTAGGGAGTGTATTGTAAACATAACTAAATTTAGTTTTAACATGTGTGAACTAAACTAGTTCTTGTTATGAGTGAATCTGGACACAGCTGCTGTACACAGAATTTATTTCAGTATGATTACGCCAAAAGATGCTAATACTGTAAAATGGAAGCCTTTCGTTAGTCATTTAAGTACCGAATTGGAAGGGGAAATCTGCCATCTTTAAAAACTCAATGTTATAAAACCTTTACCCTGCCATCCCTTTTGCATTTAAATGTGACTATTAACATAAGTGTTTCATTTGAGACTTAAGCTGGGGATGCTCTGTAAGCAGCTACAGCTCAAACTGTATGACAAAATCGCAGGTTTTAAAAGTTCACAGCTCACGTTGTATGTTCTTATACTGTATGCCCCGATGCTCTGATGTGACCTACCTGCTCACACTGTACATCCAAAAATCACACGTTGGACTAAGCAACGAAAGAAGGTGCTGGTCGGACTTGTCAATCTAGAAGACGAAGAAGAACTCCCTTGTTTGCACATGCCTAGGGCTTGAGGTTGTGGTAAATCAGCTCAAAGACGCTAATAGCTCTGCTTCACCGGTAGGATTTGTCCACGAACACCTCCCGATCAGGAATCATAAGGTCGGGAGGTGTTTGTGGAAAAATCTTGCTGTTGAAGCAGAGCTATTAGCGTCTACGAGGTTGTGAGAGGCTAATCATCCCAAAAAATTCTCGCACGACTGGAAACCGTCCCCAAAAAGGGCACAAAATCGTGTAGTGTAAAGAAACAGTGTATTTATTAAAAATAATTCATTTCGTGAAGAGAAATTATCAGATGTAGATGTCAGTGGCAGATCAACATAATGTGAAAAAAAAGGTTCAGTAAAATTCAATAAAACTCATTCATTTATTGGTATCTATATTGGATATCGGTAGCAATATTGGCTATTATGATCCTGTATTTACTTGATATCAAAGTCCCAATATCACCCACCTTCATAAAATATGTTATGAGCATGAGAAAGTTTACTTACTGATGACAACTGTGCCATTCCCAGGTATGACGAGGCCTGTTGGGCATGAAATCTGCTGTGCCTTTATTCTTTACTCTCTGTGGAAATCGAAGAAGGACCCTTACATCATAGTCAGTGGTCTCAGGGCGGTAGGCAGAGCTAAGGGTGGAAACAAGCATGGAGGGAAAGAAATTTCGATAAGGAAACATTTCCAAGTTCCTTCTTTAAAAATGCTTTCATGTCTATGTACTCATGAGCAGATTTGAGGAAGTAAAAAGGCAACTCTGGAAAACTACAAAGCAGAACTATTACTACATTATTTATTTGACAGATTATGGCTATCTCTCAAAACACACTCTTCACAGGAGGGGAGGAACAAGAATAATGTCCATATTTTATCGTACAAATATTTTTTTGGTGAGAAAAAACAAAGCACGACCTTGGGTTTAGTACCACGTAAAATGTAAGTTATTTATCTTATGTATGTTGTTGACTTTAGAGTAAATGGTAAATCACAACAGCCACAAATCTAGGGACGGTATAAAGAGCTTTGAGGGATGAATAAGCTTCTGATAGTAAGAGGTCAAACTAAATAGCCCTAAGGACAACACTTTTCAATCATCTCAGCAGTGTCCTTAGTGCAGAAAGAGTCAAATGAAAATGGCAGGTGAATTAAGGCTGGGTGCCTGGGTCACTCTATTCCTCTACTATCCTGTTTTTGCCAGATATGAGTGAGGTTTAATTTTTTTTTTCTCAAAAGCTCAGTCTATAAGCATGGATGATCTAAAGGTGACATAAAGAGCGTGTTATTGTAATAACTATGACCATAATTTACCTATATATATATATATGGTTAGCTGTCTACTAGCAGTTGTTGCAAAACAGGCTATTGATTAATATGCAAACAGCCCTATACACTCAATGACCACTTATTTAGGTATTCTTGTCCAACTGCTTGTTAAGGCAAATTTCTTTTCAGCCAATCACATGCAAGCAACACAATGCATTTAGACAAGGCATGTAGACATGGTCAAGACAATCTTCTGCACTTTAAACCCAGCATCATAATGTGGAAGAAGTGTGATTTAGGTGACTTTGAATGTGGCAGGGTTGTTGGTGTCAGACAGGCTCTTCTGGGTATTTCAGAAGCTGCTCATCTACTGGAAGTTTCACTCACAAACATCTTGGGGGTTTAAAGAGAATTGTCGAAAAAATAGAAATATCCAGGGAGCAGCAGTTCTTTGCAAATACCTTCTTGCCAGAGGTCAGAAGAGAATGGCCTGGCTCAAGCTGATAGAAAAGTAACAGTAACACAACGTTTTGTTTCAACATAGGTATATAGGAGAGCAATTCTGAATTCATCAAATGTCCAACAATGAGGCAGATGGACAGCAACAGAAAACCACACCAGGTGCCACTCCTGTGAGCTAACAACTGAAAAAATATCTGGCAACAATGATGATGAGTCTTGATTTCTGCTGTCATATTCGGATGGTAGGGTCAGAATTTGGTGTGAAAGTATGGATTCATCCGGCATTGTATCAATGGTTCAGGCTGCTGATGGTGGTGTAATGATGTTGGGGATATTTTTTGGCACTCTTTGGGCCAATAAGGCATTGCGTCAAAGCCACAGCCTACCTAAGTATTGATTCTGACCATATGCATCCCTTTATGAGCACAGTTTACCCTCCTTCTGATGAGTACCCACAGCAGGAAAACACACTGTCATTAAGCACAACTGATTTCAGATTTCCAAAGACCCTTATGATGAGTACAATATTTGGATCCAGCGTTCCCTCGCCCGGACGCGGGTCACCGGGGCCCCACTCTGGAGCCAGGCCTGGAGGGGGGGCACGATGGCGAGCGCCTGGTGGCCGGGCTTTTACCCATGGGGCCCGGCCGGGCTCAGCCCGAAGAGGAAACATGGGTCCCCCCTTACATGGGCCCACCACCCGTGAGAGGGGCCATAGGGGTCGGGTGCAATGTGTGTTGGGTGGCGGCCGGGGGAGGGGACCCTGGCGGTCCGATCCTCGGCTGCAGAAGCTGGCTCTTGGGACGTGGAATGTCACCTCGCTGGTGGGGAAGGAACCGGAGCTAGTGTGTGAGGCTGAGAGGTTCCGGCTAGAAATAGTCGGTCTCACCTCAACGCATGGTTCTGGTTCTGGAACCAGTCTCCTTGAGAGGGGCTGGACATACTTCCACTCTGGAGTTGCCCACGGTGAGAGGCGCCGGGCAGGAGTGGGCATACTTGTTGCCCCCCATCTCGGCGCCTGTACGTTGGGGTTTACCCCGGTGAACGAGAGGGTAGCCTCCCTCCGCCTACGGGTGGGGGGACGGGTTCTGACTGTTGTCTGTGCTTATGGGCCGAACAACAGTTCAGATTACCCACCCTTCTTGGAGTCCTTAAAGGGGGTACTGGAGGGTGCCCGTCCTGGGGACTCCCTTGTTCTGCTGGGAGACTTCAACGCTCACGTGGGCAATGACAGTGAGACCTGGAGGGGCGTGGTTGGGAGGAATGGCTGCCTTGATCTGAACTCGAGTGGTGTTCTGTTGTTGGACTTCTGTGCTCGTCATGGATTGTCCATAACGAACACCATGTTCAAGCATAAGGGTGTCCATATGTGCACATGGCACCAGGACACCCTAGGCCGCAGTTCGATGATCGACTTTGTCATCGTTTCATCAGACTTGCGGCCGTATGTCTTGGACACTCGGGTGAAGAGAGGTGCTGAGCTTTCCACTGACCACTACCTGGTGGTAAGTTGGCTCCGGTGGTGGGGGAGGATGCCGGTCAGACCTGGCAGGCCCAAACGTGTTGTGAGGGTCTGCTGGGAACGTCTGGTGGAGTCCCCTGTTAGGCGGAGCTTTAACTCCCATCTCCTGCAGAACTTCGAACACATCCCGGGGGAGGTGGGGGACATTGAGTCCGAGTGGACCATGTTCCGTTCCTCCATTGTCGAGGCGGCTCATCTGAGCTGCGGCCGCAAGGTTGTCGGTGCCTGTCGTGGCGGCAACCCTCGAACCCGTTGGTGGACACCTCCGGTGAGGGATGCTGTCAGGTTGAAGAAGGAGGCCTATCGGGCCTTTTTGGCCTGTGGGACTCCGGAATCAGCTGATGGGTACCGGCGGGCGAAGCGGCATGCGGCTCGGATGGTTGTTGAGGCAAAAACTCGGGTGTGGGAGGAGTTTGGAGAGGCCATGGAGAAAGACTTCCGCATGGCTCCGAAGCGATTCTGGTCCGCCATCCGGCGTCTCAGGAGGGGGAAGCGGTGCAGCACCAACACTGTTTATAGTGGGGATGGTGTGCTGCTGACCTCGACTCGGGACGTTGTGGGTCGGTGGGCGGAATACTTCGAAGACCTCCTCAATCCCACCAATATCTCTTCCATTGAGGAAGCTGGGCCTGGGGACTCTGGACTGGGCTCTCCAATCTCTGTGGGCGAGGTTGCCGAGGTGGTTAAAAAGCTCCTCGGTGGCAGGGCCCCGAGGGTGGATGAGATCCGCCCGGAGTTCCTGAAGGTCCTGGATGTTGGAGGGTTGTGTTGGCTGACACGACTCTTCAACATTGCATGGACATCGGGGGCAGTCCCCCTGGATTGGCAGACTGGGGTGGTGGTCCCCCTATTCAAAAAGGGGGGCCGGAGGGTGTGCTCCAATTACAGGGGAGTCACACTCTTAAGCCTCCCTGGCAAGGTCTATTCGGGGGTGCTGGAGAGGAGGGTCCGTCGGATAGTCGAACCTCGGATTCAGGAAGAGCAGTGTGGTTTCCGTCCTGGTCGTGGAACGCTGGACCAGCTCTACACCCTCAGCAGGGTCCTGGAGGGTGCATGGGAGTTCGCCCAACCAGTCTACATGTGCTTTGTGGACTTGGAGAAGGCGTTCGACCGTGTCCCTCGGGGGGCCCTGTGGGGGGTTCTCCGGGAGTACGGGGTGCCGGGCCCTTTGATATGGGCTGTCAGGTCCCTGTATGACCGGTGTCAGAGTCTGGTCCGCATTGCCGGCAGTAAGTCGGGCTCGTTTCCAGTGAGAGTTGGACTCCGCCAGGGCTGCCCTTTGTCACCGATTCTGTTCATTACCTTAATGGACAGAATTTCTAGGCGCAGCCAAGGTGTTGAGGGGATCCATTTTGGTGGCCTTAGGATTGCGTCTCTGCTTTTTGCAGATGATGTGGTCCTATTGGCTTCATCACGTTGTGATCTGCAGCTCTCGCTGGATCGGTTCGCAGCCGAGTGTGAAGCGGCCGGGATGGGGATCAGTGCCTCCAAATCCGAGGCCATGGTCTTGAGCCGGAAAAGGGTAGAGTGCCTTCTCCGGGTCAGGGGGGGTGTCCTGCCCCAAGTGGAGGAGTTTAAGTATCTTGGGATCTTGTTCACGAATGAGGGAAGAAGGGAGCGGGAGGTCGACAGGCGGATTGGTGCAGCGTCTGCCGTGAAGCGGGCGCTGTACCGGTCCGTCGTGGTGAAGACAGAGCTGAGTCAAAAAGCGAAGCTCTCGATTTACCGGTTGATCTACGTTCCTACCCTCATCTATGGTCATGAACTCTGGGTCATGACAGAAAGAACGAGATCGCGGATACAAGCGGCCGAAATGGGTTTCCTCCGTAGGGTGGCTGGGCTCTCCCTTAGAGATAGGGTGAGAAGCTCGGTCATCCGGGAGGGACTCGGAGTAGAGCCGCTGCTCCTCCACGTCGAGAGGAGCCAGTTGAGGTGGCTTGGGCATCTGTTTAGGATGCCTCCTGGACGCCTCCCTGGTGAGGTGTTCCGGGCACGTCCCACCGGGGGGAGGCCCCGGGGAAGACCCAGGACACGCTGGAGAGACTATGTTTCTCGGCTGGCCTGGGAACGCCTTGGGGTTCCTCCTGAAGAGCTGGAAGAAGTGGCTGGGGAGAGGGAAGTCTGGGCCTCCCTTCTTAAGCTGCTGCCCCCGCGACCCGACCCCGGATAAGCGGAGGAAGATGGATGGATGGATGATTTCAGACTGGTTGCTTGAACATGACAATCAGTTCAATGTGCGTGGAAATTTGTATTATGGATGATTAGCAGACAAATCTGCCACATCTGCCACATGATGCTATCATGTGAATATACACTCACCGGCCACTTTATTAGGTACCGGGTACCTAATAAAGTAACGGGTTGGACCCCCTTTTGCCTTCAGAACTGCCTCAATTCTTCGTGGCATAGATTCAACAAAGTGCTGGAAGCATTCCTCAGGGAGTTTGGTCCATATTGACATGATGGCATCACACAGTTGCCACAAATTTGTCAGCTGCACATCCACGATGCGAATCTCCCGTTCCACCACATCCCAAAGATGCTCTATTGGATTGAGATCTGGTGACTGTGGAGGCCATTTGAGTACAGTGAACTCATTGTCATGTTCAAGAATCCAGTCTGAGATGATTCCAGCTTTATGACATGGCGCATTATCCTGCTGAAAGTATCCATCAGAAGTTGGGTACATTGTGGTCATAAAGGGATGGACATGGTCAGCAACAATACTCAGGTAGGCTGTGGCGTTGCAACGATGCTCAATTGGTACCAAGGAGCCCAAAGAGTACCAAGAAAATATTCCCCACACCATGACACCACCACCACCAGCCTGAACCGTTTATACAACGCAGGATGGATCCATGCTTTCATGTTGTAGACGCCAAATTCTGACCCTACCATCCGAATGTCGCAGCAGAAATCGAGACTCATCAGACCAGGCAACGTTTTTCCAATCTTCTATTGTCCAATTTCGATGAGCTTGTGCAAATTGTAGCCTCAGTTTCCTGTTCTTAGGTGAAAGGAGTGGCACCCGGTGTGGGCTTTTGCTGCTGTAGCCCATCTGCCTCAAAGTTCGACGTACTGTGCGTTCAGAGATGCTCTTCTGCCCACCTTGGTTGTAACGGGTGGTTATTTGAGTCACTGTTGCCCTTCTATCAGCTGGAACCAGTCTGGCCATTCTCCTCTGACCTCTGGCATCAACAAGGCATTTCCGCCCACAGAACTGCCGCTCACCTTTCTTCCCCATACTGATCCTCGGTTTGAACTGCAGGAGATTGTCTTGACCATGTCTACATGCCTAAATGCACTGAGTTGCCGCCATGTGATTGGCTGCTTAGAAATTAAGTGTTAACAAGCAGTTGGACAGGTGTACCTAATAAAGTGGCCAGTGAGTGTAGACCAAACTCTGTGAGGGATGGTATGCCTAGAAGGGGGTCACAATTCTTACTTCAGTATGAATTCAGTATCAATCAACCTAAACTTAATCAAGTTTAGAGTAATTAAAGCGAAGCGTAAAAAATGAATTAGAAATTAACTTTTAAATGTGGTACAAAGAAACTTAAAGAGTATAAATCCTATCCATGTACTACTCAGACTAATAATATGTGTGCTTCAGAAATACATTACAATCTCAAATGATTCAAGTTTGTCTTAACACTATTTTAATGATCAAGGTCTTTATGTTACCAAATTTATTAGAAAATAAAACAAGTTACAAGTTACTTGTATAGTTTATAATATGAAACACATCCAGACTATGCCTTACCTTGAGAGGCATTTTTCCTCTGCAGCACAGCGAAGGGAGTACATGTGGGCTCTCTGGATGTAAGTTGAAGCCTGGACATAGTTTGGATCAGGAACCAGATCAGGCAAACCTGAAATAAAAAAAAAAGCTCTTCATCTTAAAACATCATACATTCAACTCTAACATATTTCTAAAATTTCTCCTCAAGCTCCCTTATAAATGTGCTGTTATTATCATTCCGGATCTGAAGTGATCAAAAGGTCAGCATTGTCTGCATGCTTGCAAGCAATTATCCTTTGTGATCTCTGAAATATGTTGGTGCTGACAGTGAGAAGGGCAAAATCTCAGTAAGAGTACCCACAGTTCAAGTCTGGGTCACATCAAAGAGACTCTGAGGCAGATTATTTTGTTATTCAGAATTTTATCATCACTTTCTAATAAGTCACTTTTTTAGTTTAAACTATTAGATAAGAGCTACAGATTGAAAAATAATTAAATAGGGGCTCTATTAACTCTTTGGTTGCCGAATATTCCAAGAAATCTAGACCTGTGTGATATAAATATATCATTCTTTCATTGTTTAACAGCTTTAATTTAAAACAGAAATGCATGACATATCCCTACTGATGTTATCCTGTAACTAATATAGTCCAGTAAAAAAATAAAAAATAGAATAAGCATTCCAAAGAGGCTCAGCTATGGGATTAGGCTACCCTTTAAAAAATATAAAATTTTCACCAGGTGATTTCTGAATATTGATCTATTTCTATGATTCTAGTTTAAGCTTATATGTTATGTTAAGTGTTTAATCAATTTTCATACAGTGCCTCAGTAAGTTAACCGCTTTAACTTAAAATAAATAATGTAAATAATATATTCAATTAGTCTATATGTGATTTCTGTTTTTTTTTTGCGAAAAATCTGGCACATTTATAACATTTATAGTAATGCAGGGTTTCCTTTAATATTTTTCCAAAGTGTGACTGTTTTGAAGGTATATCTTTTAAAAATTTGGTATATGTTGATATTGGTAACCTTCCCACGCCTGAGTAGTGGGTTTTCAAAAAACGGGACTTGTCAGAGAAAAGTCTGTATGCCTCTGACATTACCTAAAAAGGCTATGCCACAAGATATCTGACAAGACTTATCAAACTTTTGTGTTTAACTTACAAATACCAGACATGGTTTAATGTGGTCTTGTTTAAACCATTACAAAAATCTGGGCCATATCTATTTCATCTGCCTAATAGAAACAAGCTGAAAAACCAGAGAGCAAACTTCCAGTTACATTGGCCTGGCATTTTACACCTTGGTGAGGTTTCATTTCAAAGCCACATTAATAAATGCAGTCTTTCCCACTGTGGACTCTGTGTAAACTGCCAATCTGACATGTCTATCTGAGGCTGACAACGAGGGCATGGGGAAGCTTCCTGGAACAGACAGTGTAAACACTGTAAACCAGTGTGAAACACTGACTCTCCAGCCAATTTTTCCCTCTTTTTCAGAAGGCTTTGTTCTCTGTCCTCTAATCTTTTGAAATGGGAAATTGTGTCTCTTTCGGACACATAAAGTGTATTGAGAAGCCAAAGCTGAGCAGCCCTCAACTGAAAGTGACAAAACTATCCATTCCACTCAATGTAGGGCACAGAAGAAAGAAGTCTCGCAAAGGTTTATAGCAGGGATTCTTTTCTTATATGCACAGGGGTTCTTACCCTTTGCATCTTTGATTGAAGCTTGCAACAAATACAATTAGCTTACAAAAAGTTTTCAAAAAATATTACTACAGCGTTTATACTTCCACATTTCAATGTATCTCTTTTGAGATAGTGTTGGTTCCTTAGAATCTGAATATGCTTAACGGACATTTCTGAATTCTTTAATGGCACTGTAATTGGCAAGATTGGATGCAAATTGTTATTTGATAATATCTACCTTTTCACCCAGAAGTTATAATTTCCTTCAGTTAAGCTGGAAAAATGCACAGAAAGCAAATCAAACCTCCAAATTTGATAAGAAAGCTTTAACTGAAGCTTAAAAAAATGCAAATTTACACATAGCTCTATTAAATTTCAGTTCAGTAGTCTTTGAAATAGCCACACTACATCATTACAGCATTAGTAACTGGATTCGTTTTTTTTTAATAAACCATCTAATTTCTCTTTACTAATTGGTCACATTGGTAAGTTACTTCAAACTAACACAGCATATTATAACAACGCAATCAATCAATCAAAGCGCTTTTTCATAGGTACACACTCTGCAATGCGAAGACCACTGCTTTTGTTCTCTTTCAATTCTTTTTGTGCACAGACAGAGCATGGCAGCTGAGAAACAGGCATACATGATGCCGGTTGGGTGAGGATCAGCAATGTGGGCGGGTGTTCGCAGCATTCAATGATTGCTTACACTCACTGAAAGCAGAGGCGATGGTGAAGAACCCCACAGATCAATAATAGATAGATAAGATAGATTTTTTTAAATTGCTTTAAAATTATAATTTTTCTGCATTATACTTATTTCATAACCAGTTAAAACCTGCTAACATGCATAGATGTAAAGTTTTATTATTGGTATTTTTTATTTCAATAATCTAAGCTTAATAATCGCATGTACATAATTGTGACATCTACATTTTTGCACCTTTTAATCAGAAAACTTAACTGTATATTAGTCTGCCAGAAACTAATAGCAATTAGCATGGTAACTTAAAAAAATATATATATCAAAATTAGTCCACACATAGAGTAGTTGGGGTTTGTTGTCATTCAAAGAACCAGATTTGTAGTTTGAGTTCTTTAAATTTCACCAAACAAATGGCAAAGAAAATCTATGCTACAATAAGTGCTTTTAAACCTTTATGAAACAAAGTTTCTTGGGATTTATCTAAAAAAATAATTGTTTCCAAATGCCATTCTTAGTACGACTGAGGTTAGCCAAGACACAACATTGGTTCTGTTATAATAGTTTTAGCATGTTTAACATACACAGGGCTCTCAGAATACTTGAATATTCAGTGATTCACACAAGCTAACAAGCCTAAAAGCAAATCTTTGAAAAGTTTTTTATTTTCTTTACAAAAATCACAACCTGCTTTGTTCCATGCTCAAACAGAATCATTAACAAAAAACAACAAAAACACTGGCTGATTCTTCAATACTCCTAAATAAAACACCCTTTCAAGCTGTAAAGATGTGCTTTTCCTTCAAAATCACAAACACTTACTGTAATGTTTTAGGGATTATCAATCTTAATCTCAATCTTTGCTAGCTTTACCTCATGATTTAATTATGGTGGTGAAAAAAAGGTATTTTGCATCATTAACCTATAAAAAAGTTAAGAAATATTAGAAACTTTTTGAAATTTTTCTTTATGAAAGAAATGATAGGCTTTTACACTTTAGTAAATAAAGTTTTCCTCTTAAAATCACTTTTTAATAACATTGTAAAAGTTTAGATTTCATAGTTATGACAGTACTGTTAAAAAAATGTGATGTCTTGCTCTGAAGAAGCGCAATAAAGATGTCTGCTTTTCCATAGCTCTTAACAAGAGAATCTATATTGCAGTGATTACTGAGAGCACTAAGGCCTTTATGCACATGATGGCTTTTTGTACTGTATGCTAGAAATGGCTCCCAGCTCTAAAGTGTCCAATGAACCATGGTTGGAAACACACAGTCCACCAGAGAGGCTGCTGTGCAGCAAAACAGATTGCAGTGAGAAAGAGAAATCATAAACCAGCATTAAAGAGCCTGAGAATCTTATTGGAGTTCCCAATCTCCCCACTCAGTGCATACAGTACACAGCCCCCGGCACCAACTCAAAAACCCATGTTGTTCTTCTTCTAATCTTTAATATATTCTCATTTATTAATCTTTAGCAATCTCAAAGGAAACTTGTTCATTCCATTTATTTAAAAAAGCGACTAGATGCCAAAAAATTCCCAGAAACTGTCTTTTTAGGATTCTTAGGATAGCATACTGCATATTTTCAGACTCCTCACTTTTATTCCCCCAAGTGCCTTGACTAAATATTTATTTGATTTCCTGTAGCTGAAGAAATGGACCCCATGTGTTACAGGGACTTTCCACTTTCCCTCCTTTCAGGAAGTGGGGTAGAACTGTTTCCCCCTCCCTTCATCCCCCCTCTCATGCCCAGTAAGCCACAAACAGCCCTTGACACCAGGCCCTTATGAGGTCACCACAATCATTACTAAAATGGAAATGCCTCATGCACCAGTCAACCTTCGTGCAATTCTGCACTCCCCTTCAAACACAGAGTGGTTTTTGTGTCTGCTCGTTACACATTCACAGGCTTTGCTCAACACCTGGTTTCAATAACTTTACTGGCATGAGAGGATGAACTCAACATCCTCTTTGCAATCTTTGGAATTGAAAAAAAGAGACTTCACTTTTAAGAAGTTGTGTCATTTTGATTACGTCAGATTTCTGAAAAAAATGAAAAAGGAATATCAGAAAACAACCAGGCACTGACTGGGGAGAGGGTGGGTTTGGTGGGTATTTTAGTCCACTGTGGAATCTGCATATTTCATTTAAAATGCAAAGCAACAACTGATATCAGATGAAAAGTGTTATATATTTTTTTCCCTTTTACACAGAAACATCTTCATATAATCTGGAAAAAAACAGATTTGAATCTTGATTTTTTTTAACATAAAAACAAAATGCTTCAAAACTTAAATAAAAATGACCAGAGCCATCAACTACAGCTTCCTTATAGTGATTTCCTTACTGTAATTACAAACCAACTTAAGGGGACAACATCATTTTTTAGTTTACATTTACTAAACCAAACCATACCTCTTTGGTTGCCTCTGTATACAGTGCCAACATTGGTACCAGGGTTCTCAAGAGCAGAGTTTGGAGAGGTTCTGCCTTGAGGAAAAGGCTGTGAGAAAGGAGGACGAGGTCTCCCAAAAGGAGGAAATTGCTCGTATTGTGGGCTTCTGATTTCTGGTTGCCCAGCAGCTCCTGATCTATCCACCACACTAGAAGATGCCTGGTTGGTATCAGGGACAGGATTGACAGGGACAGATTCTTCATTGAAGAGGCTGTGGGTATATCTGTGATCCAGACCATCAGCAAATGGTGGTTGGGGAGCACTTGCAGGCACCACTGGATTGGGCACATATCCATAAGACTGGTAAAAGTAGTAACTGTTTTCAGGAAGTTCAGCTGGAGTACCTGGAAACACCGAGCCAATACTTCCTGCATATCCTCCTGCAGTGTACCCTTGTCCAGTTCCATATGTTCCTCCACTGTATCCAGCACCTGGGACAGGCTGAAAAGGTGGCTCATAATTTCTGATTGGAATATCTGGAAAACTCCCATCAAAGGACTGGAATGGGGGCTGTTGGGGTAATGGGTATTGAGGGTAAGATGGTATGTTATATGATGATGAAGAGAAGGATGAGGATGATTGACGCCGCTGACTGCTTGAGGAACCATGGAACTGGCTACTTCCTGTGCTGCCTGTAGTTTGTCTCCAGTTATCAGGCACTTGTCCAAACCCAAAAGGATGCCTTGCCTGTCCACGAACAGTTTCCGACGATGATCCCCTTGAAGGAGCCTGTCTACGGAGATTGCCTCCGTGACGACTGCGTGAAGGACGGGGATCCGACAAAATAACCCTAGGTGCTCTTTCTTGGCCTCCAGCCCCAGGGGCAACATACTCAGCTCCACTATTAAGTAGGCTATACACCTGTCCATTGTTTTCCCACTGTATCACTTGTCTCCAAGGTGCAGCAGAGCTGTCTTGCTCTTGACCCTCATTCTGGCTTTGCCCCTGAGTTTGTGAAGCAACCTGAGGCTCCCCTGAGCCTGCTAGAAATAACATCACACATACCACAGCAACAGACATCATACTGGCTTAAGCAATGCAGAGATTCACCCCCTGCCCTAAAAAGACAAAAATGAATAATAAAAAAATATCCAGTCAGCCAGCGGCGCAAATTCAAACCACTTGCGGTTCTGTCAATAAAACATGTGTATCCTCTTCCCGCGGGCACAGCTTTAGTGTGCGTGTTGAAACAGATGCAGGGTTACAAAGTAAGCCTGTGGTTGAGAGCATCTGTTGCTCTTTTCTTGCCAGCAACAGTGAAGCTTGAATTTGCATTCAGAAGCAATCAGATGCAGGGCAGCAGAAGTTGACTTTAGAAGACCCACTGTTGGTGAACCGTCTGCTGGTGAAATGAATATGTCCTGACTTCTTGCCAGTCTGTTAGCTCTTCTGTCAGTAGAATAAGCATAGCTCTCCGCCTTCTTGAAAGAAGTGCCTGTTCAGTGCACAACAGCAAGCTTCTTTTTGCCTGATTGCTTACAATGGGCTGTGAAAAAACCTTCAACTTTTTTTCTTTTAAAGGAGAGGCCCCACATGGCCCTAGTGCTAGCGATGTTTCCTGGGCTGCAGCAGCCAAACATACATGAAGTTTCCAAAGTCAACATTACCGGCTGCAAAGGCATTCAGTCGTATTACAAAACTCACTGACTTTCAGTTTCTTTTGTCCAGTTATGTAGCTTGTCAAAGGGATTTTAATCTTTCAACAGGCCAGGCATTGATATGTTTTTACTACATCTTTGAGACATTAAGTAATAGAGCAAATATTTGACTGTATTTATCTGACTAATTTTAACCAGGAGGACTTGTCAAAAAAAACCATGAACAAAAGCCTCAGTGCTTTTTTCAACTTTCTTCAGAAATTCAACTTAAACATTTGCTCACGTTGTATGGTTTCTGGAAGCATGGAAGATCACCCCCCCACACCCTGAAAAAAAAAAAAAATATATATATATATATATATTCTATAAAACTACTTCTCTATTTATGCAAATAGTTTGTTGGAAAATGTGATTTGGATACTCCGCCCAAACAAATATCAAACCAAGGTCAACTAAGAGAGCTCACAAAATTTTCCTTCCAGCAAACAGTGACACACATTTAGAGAAACAGAAATCACCCGCCCCCACCCCGCCATTTCTGCACACATACAGCGACTTCAACATCCAAAGCATTTATACATCTATACATTTAAATCCTGTATATATTCCTTTTGTTATCAAAATCAGCAGTTGGTAGTTGTGTTTGCCTTGGCACAAATTGTCAGGGCAGTAGCCACCGTGTGCTACAGAGCAAGGAAAAAGCAACATGCCTTCAGAGCTACAGCAGTGAACAAGCATGGTATCCTATGGAGCAAATGAGCATTTTCTCTGAGTGGAACAGGATCAAACAGAAAAAACCTAATAATCTGGCATAAGAATAGCTTAAAAAGAGAAGCTTTGTTTTGCAAATGTCTGTATGAAAAAGAAAACATACTTCCAGGCATATATATTATTTTTAATAGAGAAACAAGAGTGTCTTGCACCCCAGCTTGCTGTATCTACCTTAGTTTAATTATCAATATATTTAGTTTTATGTAGAGGTTTTTATGTATTTATTTGTCATTTTTATTTTTTGTTAAACCAAATGCTACTTGAGTGGATAATTTGATTAGCCTAACTGTATGATTAGATATAGCGCTGTAAATTACAGTCAGTCATTCACCCATTCACGCATACATTCTAACACCTATGGTGGAAAGCTAAATTGTAGCCACAGCTTTTCTAGCCACACTGACAAAAGCAGGGTGCCTATACTCTGGCCCCACCAACTTTCTGACAATTTATGGAAGTCAGAGGGCCCGATGCACCATTATAACCATCATGATTTTAGCTTATTAAACTCTTTTTTCAAATCTGAAAATGATTTACATAAAAATTATCTGCAGATGTCATTGTGCAGCCAGACCATGTCTATGGTGCCATAAGAGCCAATAGGAGCAACAATGTTCCCAGACAGAAGGTGGTGCCAAGTGTTCAGAAAGTATTCTACTCACGGGTCAGACCATTTCAGGCAGACTCAGGTGGGACTAATAGGGTTAGGGAATAGGTTAGACCCAATCAAATAAATAACAATGTAATGCAACAACTCCATGCGACGCCCTCTATTTTTGTCATTTGTCATGCTGTCAAAGAAACTCTCCAGTGAACGATTTCTGTCGGTTTTGGCTAAAAGAATCAGAAGAATTAAGGTGTTCTCTCTAGTATGTTTTCAGTTTTCATTGTTACCTTACTCCGTTGCGGTTGCCATCTTGCTGTTATGCTAACAGAAAAGTGCTGCTCCATTATGCGTAATTCTGGAGCTGAGAGACACACCCTGAAGTCCCACCTCCCCTGCTGATTGATCCATCCAGATTTGACTAAAGTCACCTGTAGTTTACCAGACAGACTAGGTCACACCATAAGCGGAATAAGACAAGCAACAATGAAGCCTTGGTTAAGGAACTAGGTTGTATAAACAGAATCTCAGAGTATCCCATTTGGTTTAAGTGGCCAGCCTCTCAAACCCTCAAAAGACAAGATGGTCAATAGCCTTGGTTATTCTTCTGCTGTTTGCTACTGGGCTCAAAAGAGCATGGGATCCTGGGATGCTTTGTTGGCTGTGGTATCCATTTCCCATGACAATAGCTTTAGTTCACACTGCTTGTTTGAATTCTACTCCATGAGAGATAAAAACGCAAAGTAAAAAGAAGACAAAAAAGAATGGCAATGAACTGTACCAAGAAAAGCTAAATCCAGTTTTAAAGGGTTGCTGTCTCAATAGAAATTAAATCTACATGAGCATGATAAATGAACAAGGACTTACATGACCTGTTGTCATTTTCAACATCTGAGCTTATTTTCTACATCATAGTTGTAGGTTTTTTACTGTCAAAGTGTTCAGAGAAGTTAAGTCTTTAAGGGCTTATGCCCCGGATCTCCACATTTTTCTTACTACAATTGAAAACTTTGCATTTCATTCACCTCAAATGCTCCTCTTCATGTTTGGTGTATGTTTGAGTCAGTGTATGTTTTGAAGGGTTGATTTCCCCTTCAGAAACCATTGTTAGGAAACAAAAACATGACTATTTGATTATTATTATATTATTCAATCTAAACTATGAAATTCATAATAGAATCAAAAATCAAATACAGTAAGTTCAGCAAAAAAAAAACAATGGTGAAAAACTTCATGATCCGTAGGCTGTACTAAATAACCTCCTCAACAGCTTCAAGTGTTATGTTGTGAGCTGTTGCCATCCCAGTTTTATTAAATGTATACTGGAGAACCCCCTGCACTGTCAAAGATCTCATACAGTTTAGAAGGTACTTATGTACATTTTTGTACGTACTTAGAAGCGTCCACTATCTGAAAGCCAATTACCTGCATATTCAATGTGGGGGATCCTTCATCAGATACTTGATCAGGAGATGAGTCTGCTAGTGCCACAAACTCCTTTGTGCATTGTTTGTAATGAGGAGTCAACTAAAAACTTGGGTTGATAACAACATGATGAGTTAAATGAGAGGTTTGCAATTTCTTCCCGTAAAACTCAGTAAACAGGAACTGAACAGGAATGGTGCCATCAATGTTCCCTCCAGGACCTCTGTACAACACATCAGCCAAACATAGGCACAACCTTTGTCTTTATATACCCAGTCTTAACTGGGACATATGGTGGCCAATTGCTGAAAGCTACTTTTTTCCATTAAAAAAGATTTTCTTATTGGTATTAAAAGCACTGGGGAAACCAAGGAACATGTTTATGACCTTACAATGTACACAGGCTTATCCAAGAGTGTGACAGCTTGATACAGGACGTAGATGATGGCAACATCCACCCTGAGGCCAGACTGGTTGGCAAATGGCAGCATCACACGACAACCTTACCAAGGAGAGAAGAGGGTCTTGACCTTCTTGTTTGTCTTAACCTTGGCTGTTGGATTGAGTTGGGATGTTCTGTTGTTGAGGGCAAAACACCAATTGAACACAACAAATAACAAATTACAGAACACAAAGGAAACACGGGAAACAGGGAAATTATAATTTCCAACAAATAATAAAGGGACAGAAGCAGGAACTGAAATGCAATAAAGAAAAAAAATACATGGAAAACAAATGGGCGCAATTAACAGAAAAAAACATGCATGCATGACCTCAGTCCTCTAAAATGGTGGGGATGGTTGACTGCTGCGAGCTGAAAAGTTCAGGAAAAAAGGCAGGCAAATCTTCGAAGGGTGATTGTAGAAGAGGGGAGACAAGGCAATGGGAAGGGTGAGTGTCTTATCAAATCTGTTCAAAATTTGTTACAGGTCATTTTATTTTTTTCAACGTTGATCTACTACAGCCTTGGAGTTTGGTTGGTGGGCAGCATTGTTCTCATGCTCTTCCAAACAACACTGTTTCCATTTGGTTAAAAGCTATCCTCTCTCCTTTCCCTAATCTTTCATTATAGCTCCTTATTTAAAGCCTCAGCTTCTCCTTATTCCTAAATCCAAAGGCTCTTCTATTTTATTTGGTTGGGCCTTTACTCTGAGGTTGAACCAGGGCTTTCCATGAAACACTGCTCCCTTATGAAGGGGTAGGGTAGCGTTACACAGAGACATTATTGTAGTCTGTGATATAGTTTATATTACTATTAACCTCCTCATATATAGACTTTATATGCACACTGGAACAAGAATTGTCCCCCAGAGGGTTTATACACAGGCTTTAGTTTGACAAAGATGTGAGCTTAGCTTTCCTAGGGAAGGAGATTTAAAGAATGTTATGCCTTCCCAGGGTTGCCAAACAATAGGTCAAATCTTTCAGTGTCACTGAGCAAAAGATAAAATGTAAGGTAAAGGTGGGGAGAGTGGATGACAGAAAGACTTAGTGAAAATACTGGAAAAAAAGGTTTGTCTTCCATACACACCCTGAATGAATAATACCTTATTCAAAGCATAGACAAGTTTTACAGCCAAAACAATTAGGGCTTCATTTTTGCTGATTTCTGCTAAAAAACTTTAGTGTCTTTCATAGAAGGTAGGGTTGTGTGGAAGGGAGGATTGCAGATGTAACGGCTTGCATTCTGACATGTGGCTGAATGCTGCAACTCTGTATTTGGTTCAGTTCAATTAAATTCTGTTTACTTATATATGCATTCACAACATATGTCACCTTAAGACACTTTACAGAGACTCAACTCAACCAGATATCACAGTCAGAATAGTTCAAATTTCTCTGTCTAGGGAAAACCAGTTGATTGCATCGACTCCTTGACTGGAAAGGAATTGTTGGGATCTGGAGCTGTACCACCTTCCTCCAGCAGAGTGCGCCGTGGGTCCTCCTGAGCTGAGCCTCCAACACACCTGTGGCCCATCTCATCATCAGAGGATCCACCACTATATAACCTGCCTTCAGACCTTGCTTCAATGCCGCAGTGTTGATCTAGTTTGGTTAGCAACCTGAGCCTAGTAAACCTGAGAATCTT